ACTTCCCACTGCAAGAAATAGGATTCCTTTTCTTTCCTACCCAAACTCTCATCGTATGACTCCACAGCTGCTACTACGAAAGGAGCAATATTAAGTCATTAGAAAGCACAGCTGGGCATTACACTGGGGCCATTTATATGAAAAGAGGATCTTGCTTTAATTAATCTCCTGCTGTTGTACCTGCCAGATCTGAAGTCAAGTGCCAGTGGGTGGATGGGTCACTGGGAAATTTATGCTTTCAGGTGCAGAATAAGAAGCCTCTTATTTCATTATTATCCTACCAGAGCTGTGAGGAATCACTCCTGTTATATTAAAAAGTCATTTCTTACAGAAAAGAAACATTGGCGATGAATGGGATTTGAAAACTGTACACAATTACCTTTTGTAATCTGTGTTCCAGCAGAGCGATTGGTTCAATGGCATGAATTGAGACCACCCCTGTTTCTAAAGTTAATGTTAAGGAAAAAAAGGGGGAGAGAAGTAGTGTCAAAAAAAACCCTACTGCCCTGACACATTTGGTGGAAACAAGACCTCTTGTTCTCACAAATTTCCCCTTGTTTTATTGGGGATGGGGGGGCACTATCCCATTAGCAATTTCTGCAACATGTCATTTGACTTTTAAATGCTTTATAAGTTAAATATTTGTCTTTTAAAAAGAGTAAAGGAAAGTCTAAAGCTTATCCCACTTTATGAACGTATTGACAGTAAGCAGAAAAGATGCTGGTGCTAAGCTGAGGTAATGGAGAACTTTAAAGTTGACTAAATGGGTTATCAGTCCAAGATATATCTGACAAATGTGGCAAGTTTAGTTTCCAGATGTGACATTTCTCACACATCATATCCTCAAATTTTCAGTTTCTGAGTATAGAAAAAGCTACAATTTTCAAGAAAGACAGTATGTTTAGCAAACTTATGGGAATTGAAGATTCTAGGAATTGAAACAAACCAAATTTAGTTACACAAATAGAATCTTTCCTTCTGAAATGGTTATTATATTTACTTCTTTTCTTACTTTAGAGACACACTACTTGTTTTATTAATTTATGCAAAGCTGTTTCTGCTTCATTTCTAATAATTTAACTGGGTTACCTTGGAAGAGTTCTGTTGTAGTCTGCCAGCAGCCTGAGAAGCTGGCAGTGGAGTTGGACAGTGAGGAGGCTGGGAAGGAACATGGGCCAGTCCTGGAGTCTGAGGAAGGCCCGGATGGGGGCTCTGTGTCGGAGGCAGAGATGGGGCCAGGGCCATCTGGGATCGATGCGCAGACTCTGGAGTCCCCAGAGCCGGACAGCAGAGAGGCAGAGAAACAGGAGGAGTCTGTTCCTAGTGCACGTATGCGCAGAGCTGCCAGAAGGCAAGAGCAGCTAAAGCAAAAGGGATGACTCGGGAGTAAGGCCAGGAAATGATTGGTTCCTCCCATAAGGTTTAAAAGAGAAACAAAGGCACTTGGGCCTTTTGCAGGAAAGCAACATTGCTAACTCTGTTTCCAGTCGGCATCTCTTGTTTGTTTCTGAACTTCGTGGGGCTTTGTCAAGTAAGGCCTTTGGCAGGGTGTCAAAGAAGATAAAGGTTGGTGATTATCCCGAAGGACTTCTTCCGAAGGACTTGTTTTGCAACTAATTGGGACTCAGCTGGGAATGAACGTAATTCTCAGCTGTTACAATAAAATAGGTTTGTTTGGGACTAATTGTGTATTGTAATGATTCAGTAAGCCTAGGTCACAACAAGTTCATTGACATCTGAACTTTGATGACTTTTGAGGTAAGAAAGTCTTTGATCATTTTTTAACTTTTATATATTATGATTTAGTTACACACAATGGTTAAGTTGTAATGAATGTGGAGATTCAAACTTTAACTTTTTATAGGGATCATATGTTTGGAAAACTACCAGACATCTCTATTTAATTTTTAATTAATCTTTCTTTAAGTTATGGTTAGTCACACAGCTGAAAAAGATCTCTGCTAAAGATTTGTTAATTAGTGAGGACATTTTTTGTTAATACAATTCTCTCCAGATGTGTTACATGCCACATTTTTCAATTAATATGGCCAACTCAAGGACCAGTTGTCTTAAGGTATTTGGGATGTGGCATCCACAAGAGGTCAAAAAACACCAAGATGACACAGATTCAACTGTACAATCAAAGCTCTGCACCAGTGGTGAAATCCAGCAGGTTCTGACAGGTTCTGGAGAACCGGTAGCAGAAATTTTGAGTAATTCAGAAAACCGGCAAATACCACCTCTGGCTGGTCCCAGAGTGGGGTGGGAATGGAGATTTTGCAATATCCTTCCCCTGCCATGCCCACCAAACCACACCACACCCACCAAGCCATGCCCACAGAACCATAGTAAAAAAAAATTGAATTTCACCACTGCTCTGCACATGAAAAAGAGGGGGAGTTCAATCACATATAAATGTAGGTACAGATCTATGCAGTTCCTACCCTAATATTCCAGAAGTCTTTTTAAAAATTGCCTTCTTTCTTTGGCCTTGGGATATGGTGCTTGATGACTCGTGTTAATTGTTCTTTTTTTGTTATATGGGATGAGGATGTCTGAACACTTCAGATTTTCTCGTTATTGTTTTTATGGATTTCAACTGTGGGCCACTTAGAATCATTCTGGAATCAGACTGTTGGATGATGCTGATGCTGATACTATCTTGACTGATTTGACCTGTCGTACAAATGCCCTTGCCTCTGGGGCAGCAAGTTAGAGAAGGCTGAGATAATCAATACAATGTTATATGGATTAATGATCTGACTCACAAGTTCCAATGCTATGGAATTGGAAATCAAATTCTTATGTTTTGATCAATACAATCAATCCTATTAAAAAATCATATAGGACAGGGGTTTCAAACTCACATCGTCACGGCAGCATCAAGTGACATATTGGGACTTTTCCCCCCTTTGCTAAAATGGGCATGGGCGTGGCCAACATGTGACACATCCGGCCCACAGGCTGGGAGCTTGACAGCCCTGATATAGGACATTAACTTAAATCACCTTTAAAGAAGGAGGATTGCAAATGTGATACATATGTTATTGAATATAATATACCTCAAATAAGAAAAAACAAAATTATCTTATTGTTGTTCTTATTGTTCTATAATAAGTGCTACAAAAAATTACAACTCATTTTTTTCATGTCACTCTAAAGGCAAACATAAAATGCTGTGATCCTTGCTTTATATTCTTGAATGCTATCATAGTATGACTGTTATATTTCAAAACAATGATATTTTTAAAGCATTCTGGGTTCTTCAGAATTGTACTGTTCTGCTTTTTGGACACCTATAGTATCTATCTATGCCTTGCTTTAGAAAATAATTATTTTTTGTGACTGCTAATTTGGATGGAAAATATTTAATTAACTTTTGTTTGAAAATGTCTGCATTGCAAGAAAACTTATCAAAGGAAGGAAAGCACTTCCTTGAAATTGAATGAACTGGAACGCATGATAATGCACATGCTTAGAGATAACCCGTAGGGGAGAAAAGAGCCCATTTTATAAACACAACCTTGTTATTGTTGTAGTAGAATTTAAAGTGAAATAAAAGTGGTAGGCATCAACTTGTATAAATTCCAAAGCCTCTGACTGAAAAAGTAAACTGATACATACTGCCTATCTATAGGAAATGCAATCTCTTCCTTTTCAGAATAACAGCCTTCATTAGTTGCATTCACAAGAGAGCAGCTTTCTTCTGAATGGAGAGGAAGAATGTCCCACCTGCTTAAGACTGCAAGATGAATTATTTTTTTTGCAAGATGGTCCTGTCTTCTTACAACACTCCTTGCAGTGTTAGCTTTCCATTGACACATGCTCTGTAAAGGTACAGATCAGTTCTTCTTCTTGGTAGTTGAAAAATAAATATCAAAGGCTTTCAAAGGATTACTCCAAGTGCTCTAAAGGTAAAAAAGATGAGTCATAAATACATTCAGTCCAATTTTTCTTGTTAACTGATGAAAGGCTTAATGTGAATTGCAATATAGTCCAAAAATAGCAATAACACGCTCCTCTTTTCCTGTCTAAGATGGCAAGAACTGTCCTTGTTTTGACAGAAAAATACTATCTTCAAATAAATGGGTGCAAATAAATAGATTTGTTAGTTTATACACAGGACACTTCTAGACAATTGGACTTCTGTCTCCTCAAAATGGTAAATCTCTAATAGGAGGCAAGGCAGACATATCGTGTCCAGTAAGAACACCAACTAACACTTCAAGGCATACCATTCCTGAAGTAACGTTTACTTCCTTGAAACAACATTTTCTTGTCCATGGATATATTCCCACTGGGGCAGGAATATAATAAAAATAGCTTATATTTGCAAATTTCTGTTTATGATCAAGAGATAAACAGAAATGCATCTCGCACAAGTATCAGGCTAGCACCTTCATCTGGAAAGCATCCTAGAAGGGATTGAAACTGCATAGATGTAATGTCATAATAGATCTTGTACCAGCATAACAGCACAATGCTTCACACATCTCAGATAAGGGTTGTGAAAAAATAAGATATGGCAGAAATAATGAAATAAGAATGTCAATTGCCCCAACCTAAGCTACAGAACTGGGTTGGCCTTGAATTGATATCATTTTGGTGATGGTCCGTGTATATCCACATAGCTGCATGCTCAGGATTATTGTCATAATCCAGAAAGCTGGATTTTATTAAAAAAAATTAATATTACATGTTATGATGCCATTACTGCATTTTTTGTTGATTACTAATTATTGTCTGTTATGGGGCACTATTCTTTTTTTTTTTTTTTTAGTAGTGCAACGGGACTGAAAGGAGCAGGCAAGTAGCAGACTTACTATTCCTTACTTTTATTATTAGCTTGAAATCCTACTTATCCTAACAGAGAGACATGAAAACAGAGGAAACACCTTAACAGAGAAGGGCGGCATATAAATCGAACCAATAAATAAATAAATAAATAAATAAATAAATAAATAAATAAATAAATAAATAAATAAAGCCTTGTAGTTGAGTTGTTTCTGGCCACCATTTCCATGGTAAGAAAACAGAATGTCATCTGTTCTTAGGGAGATGCAGGAGGACATGTACTTAGTTTTAACAACCAAAATGAGCATTAGAAATATGATACTGCATGTGGCTAAAAATATAATGTCATGGTTGAAAGATTGTGGGAATTATGTTTCTATGTCTATGACAGGTTATTCACTAACAAGATCCTTCAAGACAAAATAATGTCTATATCATCTAAATCTCACTAATACAGTTCATACCTGGTTGGAATTCCAGAACGGTCAGTCAGCCTGGTTTCTTTATGGAAATCCTAATATATGAAATGGTAGCCATGCCAAAAGATAATTAATGAGGTCGCTGCCCAGCAACCTTTCCTTTTCATATTGTTTATAAGCTCTGGTCATTTTTGCAAAGTTTCCAGGTTTACATCGAAAGAAATGTGTCTACTTCATTCCAACAATTGAATGGAAGAAAATAAATCTCATATTATGGCATTTTAGGAGTCTACTAAGGAGGTCTAAAGTATTGGCACTACAATATCATGGTTTGTAATAATAATTTCCATTTTTTTTTCAAATTTTCAAATATCTTTGCCATAAATGCATCAGATCATTGATTCTATGATTTTTAACTGTATCTCTTTTAACTCTATGCAAAAGGAGCATTATGTAAGGTATTTATATTCCCAAAGATCACATGGAGAATAATTGAACTGAATCACAAAACAGCATTTTCTGACTGAAATACGAACTATATTTGCCCTTAATTTCAGCATTATAGTGATTACAATTTACAAGTCTACAACTGTATTTGAAGATGGCTCTAGGTATTTTTTACACAGAGCAGGAGACCTACAATAAGGCATAAAACCTCTTCAATTAGAACATTTTCTTGAAAGTCTGATTTTTGCTTTCACAGAAAATAAGCAGGCTTGGGATAAAAACCCTCTTTCTTCTGACTTTATTAAACTGAGATTTGAGGTTGACAACCATAAATTAACTAGCCCTGTTGACTTCTATGCAAAAGGTAAATGAATTTAACTTATAAGTTTACTTACTTATAATCAAGTGACCATAATTAACAAAGAAAAGAGTTGCCATTGTGTTTTATTAATAATGAAAATGTAGTGGTTTTAAGATTTTTTGACATGTTTCAATTAGTGTTATCTACAGTATTTTAGATTTTAATTATTTAATTAGGGTTATGAAAGCTTTTAAAAATACTAGTTCCATTATCTGCACTGTGCTTATATATTCTCTGATAGCCTTTCTTTCTGAAGCATCTCTGAAAAACTGAGAAGTATTTTGCTCTAGTTCCAGGTCACCATCAACTTTTCTGAGTTCCACACCCTTCCATTTTTTTTTCTTCTTTAGAATACCTGTGGTGCAGGACAGACTTACTGGCTACTTCTTACATTTGTCAGAGATATCAGATACTTAGAACAACACTATAATGCTCAGATATAATTAATATGTCCTAATTTTAAATGTGTTTATCGTCTTCCACATAAAGAATGGTAAAAGTGAGGAAAGGCAGAACTAGAAGATCAAGACCACTTCACCAAGGAGGTCACTCTTAATGATCTGGGCGTAAAGGAGTTTAGCTGTTGGAACATCTATATCCCAACAACTCCATTCTACTCACCTCATCAATCTATTGTATAGGGTCCCCCTAACCTACTTGCCCAGACTGAAGAAGCTACTTAGGTAAGTACCAAAACATTTCAAACCAACAAGAAAAGTCCAGTTACTATGACTCAACTTCCAGTCAGCTATATATAGCTCAACTAAAAAACTTCTACAGGAGGTCCCATCAGGCTAGAAATAGGGTTATTCCTTAGCTGATTTTGGGTACTTCTACATAATCACTGGGACCATTCCTCAATCCCTCCAAAGTAGCTTAAAGCGAACCTTTTTTTATAGCTTCAAAATACCAAGAATATGCAGCACTTAAGAGCTATTCAGCATTCGCCTCTTATTGCAATGAACAGCACTAAAAAAAAAAGTACAATCAAGTGATATTCTGCCTTCTGAGCTACTGCTGATCCTTCTTCTCACCCCTCATTATACAAAAAAAAGAGAAAAGAAAATACATTTCTAGCATCTCCCTCCTCACTTCTATGTATGTTTTTTTGAGTTGCTTGGAAAAAATATCCTTCACTAATTACAATGAGGGAAACTTGCAAATCTGACTTTCTTCTGCATTTAAAAGTCTCTTGCAAGCTATAAAGAGGAAACAAGAGCATCCTTGAAACTTTCTTAGCAGCCACTATGGGAACCTAAGAGGAGAAGAGGGGAAAATATATTTTAAACAATAGGCCCAGATAGACACTATAAACAAGAGGCTGGAACTCAGTTACCAGGATGTGAGCTAACTGGGGATGTCTAAATAAAGAGCAACGTAGCTCTCCCAAACTCTTGCTTTCTGGATATGCTGAAAATCAGTGAAGTTGGAATCCGATATATCTGAAAAATATTGGATTGGACAAAGTTGACCTACCCCTCTAAAGGAAAACATGCATCAATCAAGTGGGGAAATAGATCTGTGTCCATTATTTCCCTTTTTGTAAGGAATGCTTTAGGCAGCTAGTAGAGAATAGTGACTCTAAGAGCAATATCTCATGCCAGTCCTAACCTTTAATTTATAAATTACAAAAAAAAAATCTCTTTGTACCAGACTAAAAGTGATCATCAGTACATTATCATCATCTCACAAGATACAGAAAATACATGTCTAGACTTCTGATTAACTTTTATATATAGACATAAAAATAGTCTATCAGGTTCTGATGAATACTGGTGGAGATACAATAAATACTTTGATTCGGTGTTAGTGTTTCCTCATTGCGCATTATGAATGTGTGTGTGCACACACATGTTTAAAAATATAAAAATGCAAGAGAAGAAAATGCCTTAGAGCTGATGTTACTCTAGATGTCAGTTCTCAGATGCAATTTGTACCATTTTATTGAGAAATTTGTAATTTCTTGAACGTATTGAATAAGCAGGACCATTTACAGCATTCTGCAAACTACTAGGCACACAACAGCAATTGTGAATTAATAAGTCATACACGGAGAACCTTTTGTGGCAAAACATAATTCTTACAATTCTCTCTGTTTCTGTTGGTACTATAGCAGTATTATTCAAATATATGTTGAACATATATATGTTCTATGCTTTCTTAGACAAACGCACAAAAATCAAACCTACTCTGGAATCAGGCTACTGTTCAAGTTGGCAACAATTAATTATTCACAGGCCTTCCAGGGCTTCCCTATATCATTGTTTTCTAAACAGTGTCCCATTTTTGTATCAATGATGACTATTTTTTCCTAGTTGTGCTGCCTTATGTTTATCTATATTAAATCTTTTTTCATTTACTTTCATCCATCTATTTCACTCAACTTTTGTCCTTAGCAACCATTCTTAAGACCAAAGAAAATGTTACATGGAACTGTGTTGCTTTTGGGCTATATTACCGGGAAGAAAGCTAACAATTGATCAGACTGTTTTGCTTAAAAAAAAAAAAAAAAACCTCAGGAGGTCAATTCTGTTCCACCTGAATTTGCCATTGCCTGTAATGATCACACACACATATCTTTCCATCTCCCTCACATGGTTTCCTGGAGCCTGTCCATTATTGTAATCATGAAATGTACTTTATTCTCTGAAAATTGTTAGAGGATGAAGATTTAAAAATATATAATTTGTATTCCAAATTGTTAACTACTAGCAGTTCTTGGATCAGTTTTATTTTTTATAACAACAAAGATTAAATACTTTTTGTTGCAGTGGCCAGAATTTAGTTCATTCTGCCCAACAAGCAGTTTTCTCCCCTTGGTTTCTCCCTAAGATAGATGATAGATAGATAGATAGATAGATAGATAGATAGATAGATAGATAGATAGATAGATAGATAGATCTAAAATAGGTAGATCTAAAATAGATAAATAGATCTGATAGATAGATCTAAAATAGGTAGATCTAAAATAGATAGATGAATAGATCTGATAGATAGATCTAAAATAGATAGATAGATCTAAGATAGATAGATAGATCTAAAATAGATAGATAGATATGATAGATAGATCTTAGATACATTGATAGATAGATAGATAGATAGATAGATAGATAGATAGATAGATAGATCTAAGATAGATAGATAGATAGATAGATAGATAGATAGATAGATAGATCTAAGATAGATAGATAGATGATAGATAGATAGATAGATAGATAGATAGATAGATAGATAGATAAATAGAAAAAGCCTTTGTTTGAAATTCAGTATTGGCAGTAAGCAATGAGGATAATGGAATATAGAAATCCAGAATTAATTTGAGTAAAGGTATTCTAACCCCTGTATTTTTTTTCTCCTCTAACTCAGTGGAGTCGTATTATTGTTTGGCCTATTAATATCTGAGGTTGTCTGCCTAGCAACTCCAACCAGTGCTGCCTTACACCTACTTAGTTGTAAGAGGCAGAAGGAACATAAGGATGAGCTGCCACCAAGACAGTGGCCAGATAAAAGAAATCTGACTCTGAGCTAGAATTGTAACCTGAGTAAGCGTCTCATATTCGACCTTTTCTAGTTCTCACAGTGATAAAGGGAAAGGGGGAAAGCACACTGAGACTTAAATGATTCTTTTATTTTAACCTAATAATAACAGTAGCGTTAGACTAGATTATTGGCTTCCTAATCTGGTCTACCTCAAAGGGCTGACATCATTACTGCAAATCCCAGACAATCCAAATCTGATCAAATAACTTATTAAATGAGGTATGCAAAGTGAAACATCTGTTCTGATCTCTTCAGAAATGTTTTGAAGGTGTTTCAATCTTACCTGATTTGCTCTGGTATTGAAAACATTTCAATTCAAAATATTTTTTGTATACTTCCAGTTATTATTATTTTTAAATCAGTAGACATATGGACAGAGAGGAAGCTTTGCCATGATTCTTTGGGTTAGGAAGATGTTCAGCTCTCAAGAAAGTAGCAGTTGTATGAGCCATTTTGTTACAAACTAATATTATTATTATTTTTTGGCAAAAGGATTAACAGGTAGCGATGAATGTTGCCCGGAAGACATTACAAGATGCACAATGTTAAAATACATTACTTTTAAATGCTTAAAAATGAATTTAGCTATTTTAATATTAAAATTCTTTTCCCCCAGTAACCTTCCACATTTTAGGGTGGATTTATACCTGGGTTTTCCCAGTTTAATCCAACACTTAAACACAACACCACAGTGACTGTCACAATCATATGCAGCTCCATTTTCTTAGCCTAGTCAATTGTTCTCAAAGCTATTGACCAACTGAACAAACCAACTTAGACACTGATTAATGTATTGTTCATGAATGGACACATATGCTAAATGCCAATTCAAACAAAAAGATACTACAGTATTTTCAAGATGTAGCAAAGCTTTAAGATATGGAGATGTTAGGGTCCAAACCTTGTGGAATTGCCACCAAAATATGAATATATGTAGCAACCGTTTCAATGTGGTTATGACAGCACAGATGATTCAGTCAAAGAGCATGACTGACTCTGAATGCAGGTAAAGCTAGTCCTTGACTTAAAACCATAATTGGAACTAGAATTTCAATCGCTAAGCGATGCAGTCCTGAAAAGAGTCATCCTGTGTTTGTGCCTGATTTTAATGAGTTTTATTTTTATTTTTATTTATTTATTTATTTCGTCACACATGTATTAGATAACAGATATAAGTATAAACATAATTATGAATACATGAAATGGATACAAATAAAAGGGAACATTAGGACAGGGATGGTAGGCACGCTGGTGCTCTTATGCATGCCCCTTAAAGTCTCTTAGGAATGGTGTGAGTTTGACAGTAGACAGTCTAAGGTTAAAGTTTTGGGGGTTTAGGGCAGAAACCACAGAGTCAGGTAGTGCATTCCAGACATTGACCACTCTGTTGCTGAAGTCATTTTTTTTTTAATTTTTTTTTTGCCATGGTCATTAAGCAAATCCAGAATCCCCATTGACTTTACTTGTCAGAAACTAGCTGGGAAGGTTGCAAATGGTGATAACATGACTGGGATGTTGCAACCATCATAGATACATACCAATTGTCAAGAACCTGAACCATGATCATGTGACTGTGATGGTCATAAATGATGTGGCAACTGGCCTTAAATCTCTTTTTTGGTGCTGTTATAAGCAAATGGTCATAAGTCAAGGACTAACAGTAGATCTCATTTATTGACTCATTTAGAGACCATTTGAAGTTATGACAGCGATGAAAAAGTAATTTATGTCCATTCTCACATTTACAACTTTTTATGTCTATAGAGCAAAGGAAAGCTGAAGTAAGATCATAAGCATGGTCACTGTTTGTGACCGCTTCACAATGACTTAGTTGCTGATTCCAATTGTGGTAGCTAAACCAGGGTTGCCTGTAACATCCGTTTCTTATTTATTCTGGAAGCACAGAAGATTCTGGAGAACTAGTTTTCATGCTGCTAGAATAAAGACTCAAACCTGTGCGATCTTACAAGTACCTTCAGTATTTCCTTTAAATTACTCACTGAAATGTTTGGTTCCAAAAAGGAAATTGTCTGTTAGAGATAAGGCTCAAAATGCAGTATTTTCACATTTTTCAAGAAGGCTTTGTTCATAGGATGTCTGACAGTTTGTGTGTCTGGGTGTATCTTTTTATTTCAGGTTCTTTTTTCCCTGGCCTGCACTGACATGAAATTAATGAAATACAATATCAGGATTTTTTTTAAAGGAAAAAATAACTTCAACCACCCCCTCCATATATTCAATCCAGAGCATTGTAGTCATGAAGAGCAGAATGAGAGTGGATCATTGATGAAAGAAACAGCTTCAAGTGTCAGACCTCTAAGATTCAACATAATATGTTGAATCAAGACGTATGAATCACAGCCTGTCACCTGCTGGAGCTTTTACAAAGAAAAAAAAGAGGCATCTGTCAAGTTGTCAGAAGTAGTTAAAAAAAGACATTATTGATTCTGATATGACTCTCCAATTCAATTTCAACGTGCCAAACAACCAGCTCCTACTCCATAGATAAACTGTGTTCCCTTTTACTCAGTTGTAACTATGTCTCTTTAAAATTTGTGATAAGTAAAGGTAATACAAACAACATACTTTCTCCTGTCAACCTCCTTTTCAATAGTCAGCAGTTCATGCTTGCATATTTTTTCCTGGCAGAAACAGTGGAAAATAATTAGCTGAAGATATAATCTGGAAGGTTTGTTGAAAATAGATGAAAAAATATCAAGCTTCATTTTCTTTTTCAGTTGTTACTTTAATAATCACCCCTTCTGTTGCTAACAAACACAAGGAAGAAAATGAATGGAACAAAAGATACCACCAACTCAATATCAGTAAGCTATTAATGTGCATTTTTTCTTAAAATACTGCAGGTGTCAAAGTTTGATCCAGCTTTGTATCAGTATATTATGTTGCATATCTCTCTATTGACTTGCCATGAGCTAATTTTGATTTATAAAATCTCTTTCATCCTCCTAACAGTCAAAATTATCGAAAGAGGAACAGGAAAAAAAGCATTGCTGTTGCCTGTTCATCTATTTAACATAGTTTTCTAAAGATTTGGTGAAAATATTTATTAATCAAATAAAATTGATGAATCATCGATTGAAATATATATTTGGTAATCTGCCTTGAAAAGTCTTGAGTAACTTAAATTGTTAAGAAATAGTGTATTCATATTTAAGTCAGTAAAATAAAACTCCATTCCTTTCTGATTCACATATGTGAATGAGATGTGTGAAAAATTCACATATGTGAATTTTTAGTATTGTTTCCCTCCTCCCCACATCCTACCCCACCCCAATTCAGCCATAGCCCATCCTATTTGGAAGCTTATCACCCAAGCAAGGCTTTTAAGCAAACCTTGTAATGACCTCCCTGGACTACTGCGGATAGGTAGGAATGTCACCTTCCACCAAATTCCCCTGAAAAAGTAAATGGGTCAAGCATTTTAGTAACTTTAGTGCTGCCTCAAGCAAGATGGGTCCCCTGAAACTAACTAAATTATCTTCCTGGTTGATCCCCAGTTTCAATCTGGGAAAGCTCCAGATCTATAACCTGATTGAGAAATAATAACACTTCTGTAGGAGGTTTGATTCCTGTCAAATTTATAAAAACAAGTATACTTATTTTTGTTCCCTAAGGATTTTATAAAAATAGGTGATATAAACCCCAGATTTATAAAAGCTAGGCTTCCAGGATGGAGAAAACAATTCACAGCATAGTTTTGATTGAGAATATTTCCTCCCTAGCACCCTTAATATACTGAAGATTTTACAATCACCATAGATCAGTTCAGTTGAAATCATGGCAGGTTCATGGCCTTTATAAGATAATGTTTACAGTAATAAAATATATTAAGGAAGAGATTGAATCCCCAATAGTTTCAATCATCTTAGTTTACATGACTCCTATTTTAAACTCCTCAGCACAAAGGGAGCTGAGTTATAAAACGAAGCACTTTATTTAGGATTAGTTTTCTTTCTTTATGCTAGCAATACATCTATTTCAGGATGGGGTATGGGGAGGAGTATCCCTGGATAATCTGTTTCACCATTTCACCAATATGCAAAGTGTCCTTTGCATTCCATGCACTTCCCCATCCACATTTTTAGGAAGACCGTAGAATAGCAGTGTATGAGGGAGTGAATATACCTGGATCAGCCTAAAAGAGCCAGTAAGTGCCTCTCTGAGCCCGTATGTAGAGATGGTTTGTATACCCCTTGCAGCTGTAATTGGAGGCAGTTAGCTTAAAGAGAAAAGCCTTCTGTAATGTATGTTTATCTCATTCATGGGCTGGGATGAAATAAAAATAGTAGCATATGGACATGGCAGGATAAATAAATCATATTGTTCACAAGTGTGGAAAAGGGGGGTAACTCTGGAACCATAAAGCCACACCCGAAACTTAGCAGTAACATGCATTTTCCAACCAGTATCTCAGTGGTGAAATCCTCTGAGGTTCGCCACTGGTTTCTGAGCGCACATGCACAGTATGCACCAAGTGCACGCTTCGCACGGAAAAAAGAGTCTTAAGAAGGTAAGTAGAACACGAGGGGAGGAAACAGCTGTGCCGTGCAATTTAGATTTGCTAGAAAGTAGGATTTCCTGCTTTCTAGCGAATATAAATCACGCAGCACAGCTCATCGTTGGAAATACAGGTTCAGACAAACAGTAGCATTTTTTAACTACTGGTTCACCCTAACCGGTAGCTTTTATTACTACCAGTTCGCCCAAACCGGTGTGAACCGGTAGCATTTCACCCCTGCAGTATCTCCATCCAGGTCTCAGATGTTGAAAGGATGATCTTATTATTCATCCTAAAAAATTGTTAATGTAATGCTGACATTCTACTGCTTTACTATTGACTTAAGTCACAAGTGTCCATATTAATGCAGTTTGTGCCCCATACTAAGTCTGTGGATGGTTCTGAGAAGCAAGCTGTTCCAGATAATTAACTAGATCAAGCCACAATTAAAGCAAGGAGAGTTTTAGATCTCTCAGGTTCTTTTCTCACACTCAAAATATTTGTGTTTTTCTTGTTTATGTATATTCAATGCATTTCTTCCCTCTTTTTTTAATGCCATGTTTAAATAAAAACTTCTTGAAGATATTCTTTCTACCTTTGCTCCTCTATTTTCCATTTGGAGTGGCAAGAGTTTGGAGAGCATCACATAGCAGGACTAAGGGAAATCCAGACTACGGTACTGATCATATCTGTAACAGGATTCAACCTGAGAGACTTCTTCAGTGTCACCCATTTGGAAAAGGAGGCAGAACTTCACTGGGAATTGTTGAATGCTGCCTGATATAATTATGGTCAAGAAAGCTAGATAACTAGAAGAGTAAGGAAAGAAACAACACTGTGTAACAGACATAGGATTGGACGACAGTGGCTTTTCTAAAACAATAGAACAGCATTATCAAAGCATTAAGCTTCTGATTTCTTCTGTAGTTTCAGCTTCATGCTGCTTCAGCAGTAATTTGCAGTACTGAATGTTTCCATAATTTAGTCATAGGCCATGTCTCACTGAGAAGGGAAAAAGGGACCAAAAAACCCCCAGTTCCTGTGAGAAATTAAATGCAAAACAGAATTATTTCAATCACTGACATGATCCCAATCTACAAGGTAGATAATTGTGGCTTTGATTGTAAAACAGAATTACACATGGTATGTATCAATTGTAGTTAGGCTTTAAAATAAATAAAAAAGCAGAGCTCCTTGAAATATCAAAAAGTGTTGCTCAAAAATGCAAGCTTGTTTCCTAAAAATACCACTGTGTTTTCTTTGAAAGATGAGAAAAGTCCTAAGTGATGAATTTTAAAGCTAACAACTATTTTTAAATATTTACCATAATTTAATTACTGACATTTTTGTCTGTGATATTGACATAATCTTATTCCCAAAGCAATAGTGTAATGATTTGCAGCAAAGTGTTAACAATTTATTAATGCTTTATATTTTACATGATTCGCAGTTGATGCAACACAGTTTTAGAACAAAACTACATGCTATGCTTATTCTAGTCTGTGATAGCCTAAAGTATGTTAAAGAGAAGTATGGTTTGTTTGGTATTTTCTTAGAGCAGGGCTGTCAAACTCCCAGCCCATGGGCCAGATGCATCATGCACTGGCCGCGCCCACGCTTGGTTTAGCAAATGGGAAAAAAGTCCCAATACATCACGTGACACTGCCATGACAACGTGAGTTTGACACCCCTGTCTTAGAGTATTGAGCCCACCAGTATGCTTAATGTAATGTATGGATTTGGCCTAATTCAAAACAGGATTAAAAATAACCAGATTTATTACAAGGTGTGAACCAGACTACTATGAAAGTATGGAGAAAATGGCACATAATCATATGATACCAACACATTCTCATGAAAACATTCTTAGATCATCCTCCAATTCTCTTTTTGAAAAATAGTTGTTGTTTTTGTTTCTCTCACTACTGTAGTAAGTCTCTCATCTTACTGTAGTATTAAACTCTAGGCAGTATCCTGTGACTTCTATTCATAGAAAGGATGTTCCCACTTTCAGTTACTCTAAAAAGGAAAAAAAAAACCTCAAATGTCTTTCCAAAATTTGCCCCAGAGTTAGAGTTAATCTTCCAGAAAAATAAACATGGAACACCTATGGGCCAGATACTAAAATAAAGAGGAAAAATTGTACAATTTTGGAAAAGCAGCTTTCATGTATTCCCCTTTTTAAAAATTGCAGCACATTGCAACAAAATCCTCACTTCAAACAATTCTTCCCTTATATGAATTGAATTTGCTGAAATGTGCCTTTCGGTACATTAACCATTTCCCTTGAAAAAAAATAGATTCTTTTTAAAACATGCTGAGAGTCAATAAACGAAAGGAAAGAGTTGTTATTAATTTTTCATTTGTTGTGTTAGTTTACAATAGAAGTGGAGGTAGGGGTGTTGTTCTTGTTGTAAGAATGCTAATAAATTTTCTTCATGCTTCCATGAAAAGGCATTTGAAAGTATTCTTGAAAACAGCAAAGCCAAGGACATGGATCTCTTAATAGCACTTAGTACTTAGACTTTTTTATACCGCTTCACAGTGCTCTACAGCCTAAGTGGTTTACAGAATCAGCCTATTGCCCCCAACAATCTGGGTCCTCATTTTACCAACCTCGGAAGGATGGAAGGCTGAGTCAACCTTGAGCCTGGTGAGATTTGAACTGCCAAATTGCAGGCAGCCGGCAGGCAGCAAAATTAAACTTAGAACTTAGACTTAGACTTAGAATAACTTTATTGTCACTTTGAATATACATTAATCGGCATACATTAAAATGAAATTTCGTTGCATACAGCTCTCAAAGGTCTCTACCTCTAATATACACTACATAAACATGACTAAATAAATAAATAAGTTATGCATATACCCACCTATATTACATGACACGGAGAAACAACAAAGTTTAATTTGGATTTATATATGTACATGGTGAGAGAAACAAATCTTGTGAGTTTTCCAGATGGATGGCATAGGAAACAAAGCTGTTACAGAATCTTGTAGTCCTGCTAGAAATACTTCGAAACCTCCTCCCAGAGGGGAGCAACAGAAACAGACTGTGAGG